AAATTAGGCCTTGCGGGATATGGCTGTTTGTCATTTTGATGTATTTTAAATAAATATATATATATATTTTTAAAGAGCCTTTTTTACCAGTTCAAAAAGTTTGATTAACCAGCAGTCACCACATTTGAATTTTTGTCTCTGGGGCATAGATGGCAGACCAAGATTAAAAGTGGTAACTCAGCCATATGAGCATGGGCTGCCTGCCTGGGCTGTCCTGCTGACTGTGGGATGCCAAGGTCAGTGTGTTCCCAGTGGGTTCTGATCAGCCCTCGAAGTGTTTGCTCTCTGCCCTGTTCAGTGGACTGTTGACTTCAGTCCCTGCAAGTGCTTTAGCCCAAGTGGGGTTTTCTCAGAGCACTGCCACAAGCTAAGTGTATGTTTAGCCAAATAATTTCTCCATTAAGGGAAAAAAATGCGCTCATTCAGATGTTACCAGCAACGACAGAGATGAGAGTAGGAAAGATTAGGCAACATTGGGGTTTTGATTTGGAAAGTGTTCAAGTCACTGTCAAAGGCTGTCTGAGAGCCAGTGATCATATAGAGATTCTTAGGAGTCCTCATCTGGAAGTGTTAAAAGACCTCCTGTGAGTTGGAGGGATTGTTAAAATGCCAGCAGCTTCCCCCCCCCCATTTTTTTCTAGAATTCTGTAAAAATGCAAAGAAAATTGAGTGGTACTTAAGAATTGAGGGTGAGGGTTACCGCAGAATAGAAGCATACTTCTAGATTTCAGTTCCATGCCACAAATCCACACAATGCCATTTTTCAACTGTACAAAAGAATCTGCTTACGAATTTGACATGATCTTAGTGGTAGCATCAAAAGGCCGAATTTTTCACCTGTTAATATTTTTCCACATTTGTCCTTGAATCTGAGTAACTTTACAGTACTGTAAATTTAACTTACATTGAGTTTGATGTCAATTCTTGTAAAAAGAGCTTCTGCATGTAACACACACACAGTTAACACAGCAGAATATAAAATTTGCAGGACCAATTTTGGAACCAACAGAAAATGTCACCTCTCATTTACCATCTTTATGTATCAGTTTTACCAGCTACTTCTAAATTTGTACATTATGTGTAAGGAAAAGAAGGAAACCCCCTAAGGCTTGTCTAACTTAGTGGAGAATGTGTGTGTCGGGTTTAGGATGGATAGCGAAGTCTTACTGAGCTGTGTTATCTAACTTGTATATAACAATTGTAATTAAAAGTCTGGATTCACCTGTTTCTTGCGGTTTAAAACAATGAGTAATTACAAACTCTGGAAATGTGACTAGTATATGACTTAAGGTGTAGAAGTGGGGAAGCTCTTCAAGTGCTAAAAATAAAGACTTCTAGTTTTTGGCTCAAATTCAGTAAGTACTGTTTGTATACCAGGATATGTGAGATGTAAATGTAATAGGTCACTTTTCACCCTTGTAGCTATAAAATAAAAATTTTGTAGAACAGAAATAGCTTGTACTACTGAATTAACAAAAGTTATACTAAAGTATCATGTTTAAAAAATACACACACACACACACACACACACACACACATATACAGAGTTAATGCTGTTACCCTGTCTGGATTTGAAGTGTGCTGATTTATATATGTGTGTGTGTGTATATAATACACACACACACATATATAAATTATATACATGCACACATCTAAAATGGCCTAAAGCAGACATCCATGTAATTACAGTTGCAAAATGAAGACATTTTGGAAAGAACATTGTATCATAGTTCATTCATTTGCAGTGGATCTTTGTTCCTTTTTACTGTGGTAATTTTAGAAATGAGTGTCAAGTTTGAAATTAGATCTGCTAAGTTGGGGTTTTGCTGCTTGAACTCTGCACTGGGTCCTCAAATAAACCGATGTGAATGTAGTTTTTTCCCCCTGTGTGAAGAAGCAGCCACACCCCAACAGAATAGGAGGAAAAATCTAGAGCTATTTCAAGTTTTATCTTTTTGTATATGAAAATAAAATAATAATAAAACTACCCTGTTGTCTCTCTTAATCACATGGCAGGGGATTGAGGTTTCTTTTCATGGGAATCAGAAATCAATACAGTGGTGTTCTTGCACTTACAGGGCTGACTCAAACACCCCTGTAAGTTCCTGCTTGGTACACATGCAGTTGTTAATGGTTGAGTGCCTAGTCTGCCATGGTCCTGAGGTACTGGAGCGCAGCACAGGTCCTCATTTCTGCCCTTCAGAAGCTCAGGGCCTAGTTGGAGACACTGGGTTTCTCCTAAATGGACTGTCCTGGAACTTGGGGTAAGTTCCTGCAGGGTAGGGGTATATTTTCCAAGTCTCCAAGATCCCCGTACCTCCCTCCCCCCACCCCCAGTCCTATACTTTGCAGACAACCCTGAGCAATATTTTTGTTAAGTGGAGCAGAGAAGCCTGGAAAATAAGTTTTATTCAGGACTACTGCAAAATACAGACTCTGCCATTTCTAAGCATGGCTGAGTATCAGGGTCACTAAATCAACAAAGCCAGGTCTCACATTTTGGAATTCCTGACTTAACTCGCTAGATGAAAACTTGGTGATGGGTGGGAGGCATGAGATCTTGGCGCAGTGGTAATTCAGTAAGTACTGTTTGTATACCAGGATATGTGAGGTGTAAATGTAATAGATCATGAAAACATGGTTCCCTGTTAATGAAATGATGAGTCTCTACTGCCTAACAAAACCAGAAAGCCCCAGAAATCACCTCACTGCTTTCTGCAGTAACAGATTTTTTTTGGCCCGTGACTAATATTTTGCTAAGTGGAGAAATACCCAGCTTTGAGTCCTTCTGGTAGGGTTAATGCCTTTTTATTCATGCTTTAATATGAGGATTAAACAACCTGTTTGGAACTCTTAGAAAATGATTTTTGATGAAGGGACCCTTTATTTAGGGACCAATTGTCACAGCTTATAGCCCATTTTGCTCTCAGATTTAGACAGTTAACCTTTTATTAGTGAATGCCCCTAATGATAAGCACAGAGAAGGAAAGGAAAGCTAACATTGTTGAAAGAGGATCTTAGAACTAGAAATGCCGGAAGGTTGGACCAGAGAAGTCATCTGGTCACACTTTTCCTTCAGCAAAGGAGTTCCTTCACCAGAAGAACTTGGACACAGAAGCTGATTTCTAAAAACAGGCTTGCTCAAGTGAGCAAATAGAAGAGGGTTCGGGGGCCATTAAACCTGCCCTCCCACTCCTTCCCTTAAGTCTCAAGTACCCCTATGGAACACTGTGGGCCCCCGGTTACAGTTTAAAAACTGGTCCAATTCCTTGATTTTAAAGGTGGGCAAACTGGCCCAGAGGGAGGTACCCTACCCTAAGTCAGGCAGTCCTTACTTCCAGTTCTTGAAATCTTGGGGCCAAGTGTGGGGGTTCACTGTTGTGTCCAAGTACAGGGTCTGGATGAGAAAAAGTCACCTACCATTTATCTCTCATTCTGGTGTTTAACACAGCACATGGCACTTAAGAGGGCCTTGAGGAATAAATATCTCTTAAGTGAATGTATGTATTCAGTAAATTCTGGTAGAAGCTGCTGAGGTAGCTTTGAAATCTACAGATATACCAGTGTTGTCTGGTTGTATTTGTTGGGACTCTTGGTTGCAAATGACAGAAACTGTTAAGCAAAAAGGGGGTTTTACTGGAAGGATGCTGGGGCAAAGGGCCAACCAAGCTTTGAGTAAAGGCAAGCTGTGGCGGGGCTTCAGGAGCCTTGGCAGCTGGGGTCACAACATTGCAGCCCTTCACTTATGTCTCAGCATTTCCTCCACTGTTGCTCAGTGCAAGACCAGATGCATCTGCTCCTTTGTCCACTTAGCAGGGAACAAAGCTACAGATAGTGCCAGAGTTTCATATGTCACAGCTTTGCCACCTGGAGAGACTTTCAGACCCACAATCCCTGGTAAGATTTCAGTTGACCTACTTCAACCAATTAGGGTCAGAGGTACAAGGAATTATACAGAATGACCTTATAATAGGTATTCCTGGGTAGGGGCGTGGACCCATGAAGCTGTCAAAACAACACTGACACTTGAGCTGGTTGTTAGAAAGGGCCTCCTGCTTAAGCCCACGTGGGGTGCTGCAGATTGTGCTGCAAAAGGAACAAAACCCATTTATTTGGAGTAGGAGTGCCTAAAACATACCCTTACTCTGTCAGCAGGCATTCAGAAGACCGAATTTTATATTCTTTCAAGATAAAATAGGACTAATGAAAAATTGCTAACATTTACAGAGCACTTAATGACATGCCCCAGATTCTTCCCTAAATGCTTTATGTGGTAGCATTTAATCCTCACAAGAACCCTATGGTCTAATCATCATCATAATTACTTTTATTGTTTATTTACATTTTAAAATAACATTTATGGTATACTTTTCATATATGATACCATTACCATTATTCCCATCTAAAAAAGAGAAAACAGAAGCCCTGAAAGGTGAACTAACACCCTCAAAGAGGAAGGTGGTTGAGCAGCCATCCAAACCCTGCACTCCGATTCAGGGTCCTAAGCCACCATGGAATACTGTCAAGACAATCCTTAGGAGGTACAAAGCAATTTTTAGAAGTTAGGACTTGTATACTGTGACTTCAAAGCCAGGTGTCATGAAGACATCCAATGTGGCATACGTTTTGGAATCAGACCTTGAGGTGGAACGGCGGCTCCGAGGCCTTACTGTAACCATGTGCAAATGGTTTACTCACCTATCAAGTGGGACTAAAGGTACACACCACTTCGCCCTCAAGATGTCATGCCTCCCACCCATTGCCGGATCAAGGGGACCAGGGGTGGAGCGGGGGTAGGGGGGCGGGGGGGGGAGTCACCTGGGCCTCCAGTTTTGTCACCAGGGGGCTCCCGAGGCCCTCAGCAGGGAGGGTGTGCGCTTGCGCTCTGCACATCCTGTAGCTCCGAGGGGCTTAGTGCCCCGCGACTCCAGGTTGCGCATGCGTATCTCGATCCCACGGTTGCGATTGGCTCAGGCGTCAGAGCTGGTGTGCGCACGCGCGACCCCAAAAGGTAAGGCGCTTCGGGTAAGATGGCTGCCAAAAGTTTTGCTTCCCGCCTCAGAGGCTCCGGGCGCTTTCTGAGTGTCTTCGTGGCGGGAGCTGTGGTGGGCGCCGCGGGAGGCGGGTTCACGGCCATGCAGTTGCTCCGGAGTCAGGGAGCTGAGGCAGCGTTGGCGGTGAGGGAGCCCGACGGTAAGTCCACAGGCCTGCTCTTCCTTTCCTGGCCCAGGTTTTGGGCCGGATTCCTACCTCAGACGTGAATCGTCATTCTCGGCCCTCGACTTTTCTTCCTTTACCGGCCCCGAGCCCGGGGGTCCTGGGATTTTCAGCCTTTCTAGGCTTCCCGTCCGGCCTCCCCGCTCCACCTGGGGCCTCGCCTGCCTCTTTCGCATACTTTTCCATCTTCATTTTCTCGTCTTCTACCCCCGAAGGTATTTATCACATGTATATTTTCATGTCTCTGACCTCCATCAGGTCGTTAGCTCCATTACAGCTCGGACTATGTTTTGTTCTCCACCATATACACAGTCCAGTACCTGGTACATAATTGACACTCAGTGAGTGTGGAAGAATGAATAAATTAACACCTAGTTTTAGCAGATTAGTTAATTGTCCTCATTTTGTCTTCGTTCAGATGAAGAGTACCCGCATTAACCCTAAAAACGAATCTGTCAGGTTATTTTATCAGCAAAAAAGTGGGCTTATTTCGGAAGAGTAGAGAATTAACAATCCAGGACAAGCAAGCTATGGCAAAACCATAGGCAAGTCCAGCAACCAAAGGAGAGGAACTTTATGGAGAAGACGGAGGAAGTTGGGAGGGGTTGTTTTTGAAAAGTCCATTGGAGAAAAGCAATAGTTCAGAATGATGAGTTTCTCATTGGCTGAGTTGCAGGGATAGTCTACTTCCTGTAGAAGTTGCACTGGCCGTCTTTCCCTGTTGGGGGCCTGTAGTTGATGATTCTTTCCTCCTGACAGTTCCTTCTGTCGGGGTCTGTAATTGACAGTTTTCCTGTAATTGACATGGAGTTGAATGGCTCTCCCTTCCAGCCTCCCCTTCTAGCAACAGAGTCCACTTTCCTGAGGTTTCCTTTTATTAGTTTCCACACCTGCTAGCCCTTCTCCAGAGTATGGAGAGCTACCAGGGTTACCTTGTATTTAACAATGAAAATGAGCTTATGCTCATTTTTTACACTTTGCCTGGCACTTGCTCCTTCTGATACTTGGCATTTAGCAAGAGAACTACTCCCATAGGTTGAAGACCTGGAGAAGGGATCAAGAGAGGGTTATTTTGAAACTGACTCCTTGTTAAATGTGTGCTTGGTTTCTCCGAGTAGGAAAAATAAGACCAGTTTTACCACTATTTCGGTGCAGTGCACATCTCTGCTTCAGTTCCAGAATGATGCATGATAGTCTTTTAAAATATTTGTAAAAGGCTGTGTTTTTGTCCCCACATTAACTCTTTACATTTAATGTAATGAGGAAGTAGGCTTTTTCCCATTAAATCATATCAGTGACTTGTAATGACTTGTTTTTCCTTTGCTTCTTTTGTATACACAGTACTTTATGGGGCAGAGATTTAGACATTTGATATGAAAGACCAGTAAGATCAGGTCCTTATTTAAAAGTTAATGAGATAGCTGCAGTTTATCTTGTTAAAATTACATGACTAATTATAGACAAAGCCTACTGTCTCTTTTCTCTACATTGGAAATACTTGTAAAATGAGATCTGGTTGATTAGATTTTTGAGTTAGTCCTTTGTAAGTCTCACCCCTCTCCCTTATAATTTTTTGTTCCTAGTAAGAGTTACTAATTATTTGTTATTTTTGTCCCCCTCTCCGCCTTTTCATTTTTAGGTTCTGCAGAAAAGGCTCTCTTGGAACAATTTGGAGTCCCTTTAACTGGAACAGAGACTAGGCATTACACTAATCATGCCTTGTCTTATGATCAATCAAAGCGGGTGCCTAGATGGGTTCTTGAACATATATCCAAAAGCAAGATAATGGGTAGGTGGTTAGAAGTAAAGGCATTGATGAAAGATGTTTCCAAATTTAAAACAAGGAGGATTATTGATTCAACCTTTTTCACATTACAGCACATTTAGAAAATAATGATGTTTGTATGACACACTTAGATAAATGGACCTCCCTGGTAGCCAAGGAGCTCCAGAGCCTTCCCGGCTTTCTAAGAGGCTGAGAGGATCATTATCTTGACATATGAGTTGGAGGCTCTGTCCTCTGTCCTAAATATTGCTACAACTAGCACTATTTGTTCATTATCTCCACAAATACTTTTAAAGTGCCTACCACATCATATGTCTGGCACTGTGCTGAGGTTTGGGACCAGAGCAGATGGTCTTTTGTTCTTGGCACTTTGAGTTAACGTGGGCGGTGGGTTGGCCTATCAAACAATCATGAATATATAATTATTATTGGTAATAACTGTTCTGAAGGACAAATGATTGCAAGTTGGGTTAGTATAAATAAGGAACAGTAAAGAATGTGATGAACAATGATATAGGAGAACCTGATTTTTATTAGCAAGGCTTCTCCAAGAAAGTGGCTTGGAGGGTAGATGCTGTTACCTAGGCAGAGGAGTTGGGTGGTCCATGGATTGTGGACAAGGGCATTCCAGACAGAAAGAAAAGCACAGCTGCATCTTTTGAAGGCACCAATGTGAAGAGTTTTGTTCCTTTAGGGAACTAAAAGGCTAGAGTGGCTAGAGCAAGGGAGAACATGTGAAATGAGACTGGAGAGGTAGGCGAGCATGTAAGTCTGTTCATGGTTTTTTTATGTTTTTTTTTATGTCTTGGTGGATTCCTGTAATTAAGATGGCCAGATCTTGCTATTTAATGTTAAATTGGTTTCCGTGTAGATTATTCTAGTTTACACTATCCACTGTTAGCTACTTGTCCTGTCTTTCACTCATAATGAACATTGCCAATTTAATAGCTGAATTTCCATTTATTGGTTACCAATGAAAGTTAATATTTTGTGAATTATTTTTTCTTTGTGAGTTATTTTTACCATTTTCATTTGGGATTTTTTTTTAATTGATTTGTGGGAGTTCTTTATGTGTTAAGGTATTACCTTTTGTCATAGTTGTTTTATTCATATTTTATTTGCCTTTTAATTTGCTGTAAGACCCACACGTTATTTCTCCTTTGCTTTATAGTACATGCTCTGTTTATGTATATTAAAATGCTGATGTTTAAATGAGTTTGTCTTTCTAGAGTCAAACCAACCAGCCGAATAGCAGGAGCCTTGGACTTTGCTTGCTGCTAGAAGGAAACTGATATAGTTGGAAACTTTATCATAGTAGTTGAGAGTTGATTATAAACTTAGATTAAGAGAAACTCACTTGATTTAGTTTCAAGCCCAATGAATTTCCTTTAAATACAAAACTTTTCCCAAGATGTAAGGAATTTCGGCTTTACTAATTTTATCTTATTAAATTACCATTTTCAGAGGCATATAAGAAGAATACTGCATTTCACATTGTAATGTGTAGTTTGAGGAGGTAAAATAATATTATTTGAAAACAGGAAGCAGTATACTTGTGATTTACCTGATTTTAGTCTTAAGAGTCTTCTGTTTTCAGTGATGACAGACTAGATTACTCAGGCTGACTCCTAAAAACAAGAAATGTTATTAGCAGACTGCTAAAAACAATAAGAAATATATAGGAAAAAAATCACTTAAAAAAAAAAAGAGTCAGCATGATAGTGTGAATTGCCAAGCCAATATCTGGGGGAAAGCCAGAATCGAGAGAGGTAAAGGCAGTCCTGGTAAACCATAGCCACATTGCTTTTGATTCCGCACCTTTGTAGGGTGAGGGAGACTGAAGGTGAGACCTAGGGCTCACCCAGGGTAGATTGTCTTACAGGTGACCCTCCCTACAGTTAGCCTGGAACCCCAGGGGGCTGCACCCTCGGAGAGCATGGGGGAACCAGAACTAACCTGCCTGCTCACCGTAGGGGACTATATGGAAGGTTGTCTTGGCACTGAGCAAAAGGGTCAAAAAGAAAATAACCTTGTTCCAGAGAAGGCGAGGCCACAGACTGGCTATCATGCAGACTTACAGGCCGAAGCCATGGAGCCTGTATAGATCCAAGTGCTGAAGCCCTGATCTTGGTTTAACACAGTCCTCCACTGGCAGTGCCTCCATGTAACCTGATAGAAACAAATTACATCCATTTCAAGGAAGGCATCTTTATCCCAGGCCTTTGGAAATTCCCACAGGCGGAGATAACCAGGCGTGTAAGGAGGTGATTCCAGTGGTAATGACACATGAGAGAAGCTTACTAATAATTCTTCTGTTATTTTTTTCTTTATGAAGTGGTTCTAAAAAGCTCAGTATCAGATAATTTATTCTGAGTCTTAGGATCTGATCATTTAAAATTTTTCTGGCTGAATGAAATGACACTGGGATTGGTAACTTCATTGGTCTCCATTTTAAACTTTATTGAGTAGCAGTCTGAGTATGTTCCATTTATCACTATTATTTTTGTAATTTAACAAGATCTGGCCTAATGACAATGGAAAATATAGTATTAGGGTTTGCTGATGTACACTGTGGCAAACTGTTCTGGAGGTGTGAAAATATAAATAAAATTGAGATTTTTTTTCTCTCCCACATGGTACACAGATATTTTGTTTCAGGAATTTCTGGATTGAGCTCATAACCTAAATGTTTGTTTTGTCATGGCTTAAGAGGCAGCAAGCAAGATATCAGAGACACTCTCCCCCTCCCCAAGGCTGTGGCTGCCTAGAACAAATTGTTTTGTGTCTATATATATCCATTATTTCAGTGCATATAAACTTGTCAAGTACAGTTGCACAAAATACAATACATGAGGGTTTTTTTAAAAAGCAAGAGTTTATTTAGTAGGTAAGCTTTTTATATAGTTCAGCTATTTGATTGGTCATTGCTTTTACTTAAATACTATCCAGGGGATTTTTTTGCCTTTAATTTCAAAAGCTAGAAACAGAAGTATATGAGACAGCTACACTGTATGAAAAGCATTCTTTCCTAGACTAGTCCTTGCTAAATTCAGATGAGGTATTTGAACTATCCCAGGAACTTGAGACATGCGTGCAGTCACTAAGTACTAGCTGCTCAGAAAGATACTAGCCAGCAGCAAACAGCTTGCCTTGCTTAGAGAATTTTGAGGGATCTTTGTCCACAGATAACTTACCCACTTTTTGTGTTTTTCTTCAGGTGATGCTGACAGAAAACATTGTAAATTCAAGCCTGATCCCAACATCCCTCCCGCCTTCAGTGCCTTCAATGAAGACTATGTTGGGAGTGGGTGGTCGAGAGGACACATGGCTCCAGCAGGAAATAACAAATTTTCATCTGTAGGCATATTTTTTGGGAGGGATGGGAATATGGGGCTGGTAGTCTGTATACTGTGGGACTTGGGCATTAAAAGTATAGGAGCCAAACCTTAACATCTGACAACTTTTATACTCTTATTTTGTATCTTCCTTCCTGACTTCAATTCCTTTGCTCAGATAGACATTCTCACACAGGTTGAAAAAGTAAAACTAAATGCTATGTAAAAGAGAACTAGAGAGCTCTTAGGAGTGAACTATCTGTCTGTCTGTCTATGTATTTATTTATTTGAAAAATTTCAGATCTGTAGAAAAGCTGAGAGTACAGCAAAAACATTTTTACCTGTAGAAAAATTGAAAAGATGGTACAGCAAACCCTTTTTTTTTTTTTTTTTCAGAGAGCGGGGAAGGGCAGAGGGAGAGAAGGAATCTTAAGCAGGCTCCATGCTCAGTGTTGTTCAGGATTGCTCAGGATATTGTATCATCTAAGAATGAAGATATTTGTATATATGACAAGAGTATCATACCAAGAAGTGTGTGTATATGTATTTTTGAATATTTGTACAGTAATCACTAACAGTTCATACTCAGACTTGCCAAATTGTTCCAGTTGTGTTCTTTACAGCTTTTTTTGATCCAGTGTTCAGTCATGAATCACGTATTACACTTAGTTGGTCATGTTTTTCTAGTCTCCTTTACTTTAGGACAAGTTCTCTGCCAAAAAAGGAGAGAAATGTATTTTATGACATTTATTGTATCAACTGTTGGTGATTATTGTCATTAAGATAGTGGTTTTAAACCTTAGATACTCATTATAATCACCTAGGGATGTTTTAAAAAATCCCGACGCCCAGATCCAGAGCAAATTAAATCAGAAACTCAAGGTTGAGAACCCCTGCTTGAAGAGAAAGTTATTGATGGCATTGGCAGTTAATACAGGTCAGTGGAAGGAAATAATAACAGCCTTGCAGGAGTGTGAAATGAATGAACACCTAGTGGCCAGAAATTCAGAAGAAAAGGAATTCTTCCCTGCTACTTTTGAACTAATATGTTTGTATTGTATTCCTTAAATAAAATTTCTGAAAGTTGACCTTTATGGAGAAACTCTTTGTCAGAGGCTGAACACCAGAATTTATCCTTTAGCTTTATATTGGAAACTTTGCTCTCAGAGTCTACATTACTGGTTTGAATTTTAGGAAGTACAAAGAAAGCTAGCACACCAAACTACTTATTTTGTTATACCCCTTTTATGAATAATCATTATTGAGCTTTCTGACCTGGAATAGCTATGGCTTTCATTTATTTAAACACGTAGTCACTGTAAGTGCCTGAGCTAACATAGAAGGAACTGGCTTTCAGTGTCTGTAAAATCTTAAAGGGGAAGGCATTTCATTGCAAATTACTATTTTTATTTCTTTTCACAGAAAGCCATGGCTGAAACCTTTTACCTTTCTAATATTGTGCCTCAGAATTTTGATAATAATGCTGGCTATTGGAACAGGTGAGGGATGAGAGTTTTAAAATGTGATTCTGTGGGAGATGAATGATGTGCCAGGAGAACATACTAGTGCACCCATCAACTGTTTATCTTTGTTTAGCAAAAGATAGCACTACTGAAGGTAAGTACTTTGGACTAGTTGTCTTTGCTGTATTCCGGGAGTACAGTTGTCTGTGGGAGTACAGACTTCAAAACAGCCAGCCATTTTGATCATATTTGCCACTGGTCAGAAATAAGTTTGGGAAGAAACTACTCAAAATATTACTGAGGCAGTAAGAGATTTTTTAGTCTGTCCAGGGGCATTATATTTTTTTCTACTTGTATTTCAAGAGTTCCTGAGCTTTCTAAAAAAAAGTTTTGGTACTATTAAACATAACCAGTTTTTGATAGAACCTAACAATAAAATCACTGGACTTTTTGCAGGTTTTTGATACTTCTAACCAGTTCTGTCAGGGGATCTCTTTAAGCATCTAAAACTAGCACTGATTGAGGTTGTTTCAGCCTATTGCATTTTCCTCAAATGGTACCTTATGGTTTAAAATACATTAAGAGAGTACCCCACACTTAAGACTTGAATAATTATCAGTCATGGCTCCATTGTTTTGTCTACATACCCTCCCTTTCCCCACTCATTTTAAGCCGTGACAGCTATATTGTTTTATCTTTAAATATTTTAATATATATTTTTAGAAGATAAGGATTTTTTAAAAATTGAAGCAGAGCATGATTATTGCCCCGAAAAAATTGAACAGTAATTCCTTATTGCCAGTTTGTTCAGATTTTTCTGTCCTAATTTTTTATTTATGGTTGATTGGTTTGAATCAGAATTCGAACAAGGTCCACATATAGGTAGGTTCTTTTAATACTCTTTTAATCTGTAGGTTTCCTTTTTTTTTTTTTTTTTCTTAGCCTTGCAGATGATTTGTTGAAGATCTGGGATATTTGATTTGTCTTACAGAGTTTCCTTTTTATTTTGGCTGGTCACATACCTGCGGAAGCATTTAACATTTTCCTTTCCCAAGGGATATATTTTGGGGAGGATAATTTACCTGATAATTAGGCATATATACTGTGAGGTATAATACTGCTGATTTTACTTTTTAGATGAGGAAGCTGAGGGATGATGACATGCATTGTTATCTCTCATAAATCTCTCCCAGCTGCAGTATAAGAAAGTGCATATTAAACCTACTTGCCATTTTTATCCAGTAAATTAGCAAAACCATTTATTGATAAATCCCAGTGTTGTAAAGATTGCTGTGAAACTGTGGTGTCATATTTTGGAGTTTATATAGTAAATTGGTACAATACCATTAAAATATTACTTTTACATATAATCAAGTGTTATTAAAATATATATTGAGTAAAGTAATTCTGGCCCTTGAAATTTATCCTAAGGAATGTTGCATTATGTAAGAAATGTTAGGATAAACCCAACTGCCCCACAATAGGAATGGTTAAATAAATAAGGTGTATCAACTTGTTGAAACGATATATAACTCTTCAGAAAAGATTGAGAGCTACAAAGAAAGATAAGGGAGAAGACAAAACAAAATCAGTTCTAAAATGTACACTGAATGCACACACAGGAAAATGTAGGTAGTTGTATAAGTGCATGTCATTTTTAAGTTTTCTTGTGCAATGAAGAACTGGGAAGAGTTGCTTATATGCTTAGTGTTTTTTGCAATATTCGTTTGTTCACATTCATTTGTCAAATTCAGCATTCCTGCTATCTTTTCTAGGGATTTGAAATGGTTTGCTTCTTTTCTATATGTCTATGTGAATATCACACCTTTTTTTTGTTTGTTTTTCAGAATGGAAATGTACTGTCGAGAACTGACGGAGAGGTTTGAAGATGTTTGGGTAGTATCTGGACCGTTGACCTTACCTCAGACTGGAAGTGATGGAAAGAAAACAGTTAGTTACCAGGTAGGGACATGTTTTAACATTCAGGCTTATGTTATTTGTATGAGATTGTAATTTCATTCTGTATTCTTTTTGATTTTATTTATTGAACACCTGTTGGAATGATAGGCACAGGGGATAAAATGATGGATTAAAAAGCAACCAGTGACTTTAAGGAGCTCACAGTTTAGAAAGGGAGACAAAAAAACAAAACAAAAACAGAAAGAAGGGAGACAGAGGTGTTCTCAGTTAATCACATTAAAGTCTGATATGCTGGCTAGTAGAGATAAATACATAGATGAAGGGGTATCATAAGAGCACTGACCAACTCTTTTGGTGTGGTTTGGGAAGACTTAACAGAGGAAGTGTTTTTTGAGCTAGATTTTGACAGATGAGTAAGAGTAAACTGAGTCGGTGAATCACATATTATACACCTGAAACTAATGTAACACTGTATGTTAACTATATTGGAATTAAAATTTTTAAAAATGGGAAAAAAGAGTAAACTGAGTCAGGAGGGGAGCATGGGAATTTCAAAAGCTGGAGCATTGTAAGCGCAGGACATTTGTGGTTGACAGCATAGTTCTGGAACTCAGGTATCATTGATAAAGATTGGAGCTTAGGGTACAAAAGAGTATGGGTGGCTAACAGGGGATGAGGATTTCTACAACAGGACAGGGACCAGATAGTAGAGGGTTTTATATTCCATAAAGACTTGGATTTTGCTTTTTAGGCAGTGAGAAGTCAGGTTTATTTTAAGCATGGGAGATGTGATTTGTTTGGGGTTTTATTAAGAGTATTCTGACAGCACCGTGCATAGAGGTAGGTGAGGAAGGAGTGTTTGAAAGAGAAGTCAGAGATGAGGATGTAAATGGACATTAATTCCGTGGTCCATATGGGAACAGACATAGGGCCCAACTCAAGCAGCTGGAGTGAGGATGATAGAGGAATACAGGAAAGCATAACCATGAATTCACTTTTTGGCTGAGGAAGAGGGAAAAGTTCAGGATCACGTTTAGATGGCAGTGAGCGGAAAAGTGGGAGGAACAGCTTTTCTTTTAGATGCTTGAGTTTTTTAAAAAGATGGAAGATTTTTTTTCATGCAAGGTATTTAAGAACTTTACAGATTGAAGGAAAGAGGTTAAGCTAGAAGAGTATAATTAGTGGTGTGAGGGCTTATGCATCTGATGTTGATGTGGAAGATTGAGGATTGTGTCTGGAGGGTAACTGAATTGATAATGATATTGTGAGATCTGTACAGGGTGGGGAACCCACTGGAGTGAGGAAGACGTTATAGAGTAAAGAGGGATTGAAGGATTTCCCTGTAGGTCAAAGAGATGTATCTGGAGGGAACACTTAGTTCAGCTCTAGGAATAAAGCACATATTTAATAAATACTGGTTAGGTTATATGATTACTTAAGAGAGTCTGTGATAAAAGTGCATGACCTGAGAAACAGATTTAGGGAAAAAAAACAACAACCCAAAACTTTAAGTATGTTCTGTCCCACTTGATTTGCTTTTTATCAGCCTGTCTGGATCAGATGCGCAGTGACGTGTAAGTAGCCAGGGTGTTCACACAGGTGCTCACACCCTCAGAATATTCCAGGAGTTCTTACGGGAGGGAAGGAGTGTCAAAGGAGTTAGTATTTTAAGCAGATTAATTTCTCTCCTCTGATCAATTCGCTAATTTAATTTTAGTATTTTTTGTTATATTAGAAGGAAAAAAATGGCTTAAAGCTCCTTATGTTCTCTTATTTTTTAAATATTAATTATTCTTGAGCTTTGTTAAATCTAACTTTTTACTCTTACTGTTGGAAAAGAGGTTCTCCTGACTGACTTTTAAACCTTAAGTGATCAAGTTAGTTTTATGTGTGCTTTGTTTTCATAAAACTGAAAGATTTATATGACTAGCTTACTGTGTAGTAGATGAAAAATTTATACAAAATTTAAAAGGAAAAATTAACCAGTAATTAAGAGCATTTCACTAACAGTTTCTTTGGGTGGATATTTCTGTTAAATATATGTTGGCCAAATGCTGTAGTGGAAAGTATATTGCTTTTCTTAAATCGGATATAATTTTTAAAAATATAACTTAACACAAAATATTATGTATCTGCCGGCTCTTTCTGCTGAACGGGCCTAGAAGCAGTAATACACAGTTAGCAGTGAGCATACCTTGAGACCATATCTTGTTTCAAAACCATCTCCTACTGGAAGAACTTAGCATGCGGGGAAGTGGCTGGTTCCAGGGCTGGTGCAGAAAAAGTACAAAATTGTGGGGACGTATCAAAAAGACATAGACATCAGCTTGCAGGCGTTCTGCTTACCGTGTCTGGGGCTGTTGGATAGCAAAATATAATGGACTATAGACCCACTGAGTTGGATAAGAATCCTTACTTCTAATATATAAGTAAATACATGAGTGTAAGGAAGAACTTCTGCTTACTGTAGTATGTCAACTAATAAATTTGTAAGAAAAAAAGAGTTAGAAAAATCATTTTGCAACCGTCATGGTAATAAGTGATTCAGACAAGAATCATCAGTGGATGCTAAAACTAGTGAGTGAAAGTTTTATGGGAAAGAAGTTTATATAGTTAAAAGAGTCTCTCCACAAATTACTTATTAATAACAAAAGCAAGAAATGGTAACTGTACAGTGGAGAAACTTTCCCTTAACCAAGTGATCAGGGTTAATATTAATATTGTCAGTAATGGGATTACTGATACACTGTACTTCCGATGTGATGCACTGAGAATACAGGATCACTTCTGTGAGATTTCTGCCAGAAAGCACAGCGGGGAATCTCACCGTGTAGAAATAGCAGGCAAACCCCACCGAAGGTCATTCTGTGAAACAGCTGCCTTGTACTCTTCCAGCATGTTAGTGTCATAAAAGACAAAGGCTGAGAAATTAATTCCAGAATTAATCTGGAATAGATTAATGGAGACTAAAGAGTTCTGAAAACAAAATCCTAAGTCAGAATAGAAATGTTACTAAAAAGGACATTATTGGGACAGTTGGCATCATTTGAGGTCTGTAGATTAGATCATTGTATGTTATCAGTGTTAAATTTCCTGATTTTGATAATCCTACTATGATTATATAAGCAGATGTCTTTGCTCTTAGGAATTACATCCTGGAGGATGTGTCTGTGTTTTCAGAGGGTTTAGGGAAGGCAACCCTGTCGGGACCCCTCGCACTCTAGAGAGCTTTTTCTGTCTCTTCGCTTAATAAAACTCTATTGCTTTACTCGCAAAAATAGCCAACCGACAAACAAGGACACAAAACGTTTAGGGAAAAGAAAAATACAGAGGAAGAAAGAATAATAAAGCAAATCAGGCAAAATGTTAACAGTTGATGAATCTGTGAAGGGCACACAGGTGTTCTTTGTCCTAATCTTGTAAGTTCTATATTTGAAATTAGAATGAAATGTACATATGTACATATATTTTAATATATCTTTTCTATAGCAGTATTCTTCATTACACTGGAAGATATAAAACTAACCACAAATAAGACTTACCTTGCTTCTCCTAAATAGCTTATCAGTGACTGCTCTTCGAGCCTTAAAGAGAGTTTCAAAAGAGACCTGTCAGCTCTCCTCACCTGAATTAGTGTCATGGTGATGAAATGTGGGAGAGCAGTCAAGACAGCTTCCTGAAGGGTAGACTCTGAATAATAATCTTTTTTTGGTTTTTATGTGAAAGCCTTATTGGTCTTAGGGCCTTTATTTTCAAGTTCTGAGCCTCTGAACCTGTACTGTTAGTTTCCCATGTCCATAGTAATTCATAGGACTGATGCATGCTCACTGGCCAATCTAGAATCCAGCAAATCTTCCAGTGCCTGTCATGTGGGAGGAGGAATGTATACAGAATTATAAATAACGGCCTTAAACCTACACTCTTGATTACTTTCTCCCTTCTTTTCCTGGATTTCACATCCACAAGTCATCTCTCCTAATTTCTTTGAGTCAACAACTGTTATCAGTTCTCCTTCTTAATAACTTTTACTCAGATTTTGCTGAAGCTCTGAACACCTGCAGTGTAGCAGAGGCCTCCAGTGACTTTCTCTGCCTCCACTTCTGTTGGTGTCAGTCTGTCTGGAGTCCAGAAATCATTTCAGAGTATACATTTTTGCTTTTCTCATCCTCAAAAGCATCAGAAATGAGTAATACCAAATGAACAGAAAAGGAGACTTCTTTTGTACTTTTCAGTACAAACTTTCATTTGTACTGAAATCAGGAAATGTCCATAGTCATATCAAGCATATCAAATAATATCTGAAAGATACAGTACATTTAGACTAAATTATAAAAGGTTATTTTTTTTAAGATTTTATTTATTCGAGAGAATGAGAATGAGCAGGGAAGGGGGGCAGAAGGAGAGAGAGAGAGAGAGAGAGAGAGAGAGAGAGAAACAGACTCCCTGCTGAGCAGGGATTCCTGACACGGGGCTCCATCGCAGGATCTGGAGATGATGACCTGGGCCGAAGGCAGACGCTTAAGTGACTGAGCCACCCAGGCACCCCAGGTTATTAATTTGACATGTGTTCTTTAGTCAAAGCATGGGGCAGGGTACTGGAATTAGTAAGAAAGTTTTTAGTAAGGAAGACTTTCTTAGATTCTTTTTTTTTCATTTCTCTTCCACAGAACCTTGGATAGCAGATGCCTTTCTATTAATTTTAAAGCTTTTGAATCTATTCTTCATTAATCATATATTATGTTAGAAATTGTGAAGGTAGATACTTATACTAAACTTAGAATCTTGGTGCTTTTGTGTCTTCCCCTCCCCCCCCATGGCATTGAAGCCATAATTGCCAGTCTTTTTATTTTTTTAAAAGATTTTATTTATTTGAGAAAGAGAGTGAGAGAAAGAGCATGTGAGCAAGGGGAGGAGCGGAGGTAGTGGGTTAAGCAGACTCCATCCTGAGCATGGAACCCCATGTGGGGCTCGATCTCAGGACCCCAAGATCATGACCTGAGCTGAAACCAAGAGTTGGATGCTTAACTGACTGAGCCACCCAG